TTGCTTAGTTTCCAAGCAGGCAGTTAGACTGAGCAACCACAAACATAGATCTTGTAACCATGTGAGAGAGCAGCATTGCCATAATTCTGGAGATATCTCTTTCTTTTCARAACTATATTGGCAGGCCATGATTCCAGCATTTCAAAATGACATTCACTCTATATTACACAGACTGTGTAAAAATTTGTGTTTACATTTTGTCTCCTTTGSCCTTTTCAATTTTGCTTTATTTTTTTATATCTTTGTAACTTTAGCCATACATATTTAGAGAATTTTTTTTCTTTTCCTCATCTCACTTTATGGCTTGTTCTGGCTGAGACGTTCTTACATGATTTGATTTTACAAGAAATATAGGCTAACACATATGTATGCAATTGTTCCACAGTGAACCAATCTGTCTGGAGCACTGGGGGAAGATATAAAGTTTTCTTTCATGCTATTTACAGATTATATTGCTGGCTGTACRAATGATGTAAAATATTAGGAACTGCAACAATAAGGCTTAGGCTAGTAAGCAGGGAGCATAAATGTATGGTGGAGCCAAACACTCATCAGAGTAATATTTTCATCAGAAACAGAATGTACTGTAACCAAGGGAGATAAGCATGAGTAGGCAAAATTGTCTATGCTTAGAGCCAACATGCAACAGCAGCTACAAATAACACACTGCTGAGTGACACCTGAAAAATTGAAGCCTGATTCTTCCTTCCTCCTCTGAGTAGGGTGCGAGGCAGGAGCAGGTCATGGTGACTGCCAAAGTGTGCCAAAATGCATCTGTGCCAACACCACAGAACAGCTGTGACACTAGCTAAGAGGGGAGGCCAGGCTGTGCTCAGTCTCTGGAGATCTGCCACTTGGTCCTTGTGCTGGTGGCAAGTGGCCCTCTGATAATGGAGTGTTTAAGGAAGTGTCACAGAGACAAGTGGACTGAGAGCAGAGAATCATTGTGGAGGAACTCAGTAGCCTTTTCCACAARAAAAAAAGGTGGGAGGACTTTGGTGCTTCCAAGTAGGAGAACAGTGAAGAAAACAGCCAAGGATGGTTGCTGAGGTAGAGTAGCAAACCTTGGTTATCAGAGGGTGCATTGCAGTGATACCAGCAATGTGGAGTCAATGCTGCAAGTGCCGCATACTAGGACTTATTTAAAGAGGCTATTGTAAAAGCCTTCGAGCCAGTTAATTACCAGTTTTTTGTTATGTCAGGAACTCCTTGAGTTAAAGCAGAAAGAAACTATTCATGAATATGTTCCAGTTCTGTAGTTTAATGGGACAAATTTAAAAAAAAAAAAAAAGAAAGAAAGAGAGAATGAGACTGATAAAATGATTTAGTTCATGGAACATCTGAAAACCCTTACAAAAAAAGCTGAAATTACATATTGTGCCCCATCTACTCTTGCATAAGCCATTGAAATTGCTGGAGACTTAGTTGGACTAATCGTCCATTGCAGTTATGCATGAGCGTTAGGGAGTGCATATAGGCCAAAGCACCAGCCTATGAAAGAGAGAGAAATTAACCAACAGCATTTTTTAAAATGTAGATGTCCAGGTATGAAAAGCCAAGASGCTTGGCTTGCATTTAAAAAGTACTGAGAGCAAGTGAGGAATTTAATTTAATTTATTCACCAAATGGACTTGAAGAGGTGTAGAAAAAGGACTGAAGTAGGCCAGGTTGGATCTTTGTGCAACCTGCTCTCATGGAAGGTATCCCTGCCCCTTGCAGAGGGGTTGGAACCAGATGATGCTTAAGGCCTGTTCCAACCCAAGTCATTCTATAAAGTGATGCTAGGCAAGAGAAAACTTTCAACAGAAAACAAAAATCTACACAGGACATTAATGCAGACTTATTCTCTTCCTGTTACGTAAGTTTTTCCCTCTACACCTCCCTTTTTGCTGTGAAGTTACGGATGGATCATGGTTATTGCAAGCAATTTGGGCCCAGAAGTTCCATCTAGTCACAACAAAAGTCATATTGCATGCTACATATTGAATTGAATTGCAGAGATTGGAGGAAATGCCTGTTTAGAGCTTGTCTCATACTATCAGTATTCTTCAGACATCTACTTTGCTATTTCATAACACCCTGAAAATCACCAACACATCTACTGAATTGAGTTTCAAAAGCAACTCAGAAACACAAACAAATCATAGGTTTTGCCTCTGCTGACTGGAAGAACACTGTTGCAGAGGGAGTGCTTCCTGCCTGCGTCTGAGTTCTCCAAAATGACTTGTCATGTATATATGTGTCCTGGTTTCTTTTGTTGCAAAGAGAGTTTGCTAGGAATTTAGCTTACCTCTTGAAAGAAATTAGTCCAGCATACCAGAATACTCATCCTCCTAATTCTTACCATTCTACAACTGAGACCCCAGACCTGCTCATACATTATGAAGCATCTTGGAGAAAGCTTTTATGGTTTTGTGCCTAAAAATGCAATTATCTCTTAGGTTGTGGAGACAGTTGGAGATATTGAACATAATTTGTTAGAGCTTTTCTCTTGGTATTATTTGAATCTTTTCATCCCTGGTCGCTCTTGTTTCAGATGGGTAATAGAATAACTATGTGGTATTCCCATGCAGCTGGTAAACTCTGTGCTTAGTTTTTCAGAAGTCCCCAAGTACCATACCAAACACCTTAGGTTATGATCTTACTGGAGTGTAGGACTGCCCGCACKGTGGACGTTATCAGCCTTTCAGTTGTGCTCTCTTCCCAGGGCTGATTTCCCATTTGGCATGCTGCTCCTCACTTCTCCCTGCTCCTGCTCCCCTCCCCTGTCCAAGGGCTTTGCTCTGGGTGTAAGAGCCCCTCYGATGCATGCTGAACTTCCAGGGTTCACGACATTGAGGCTTTTGCTGTGTTTTTAAAGTGCTAATTTGGTTTTACTAATATATTTTCAATGTTTGGGATTAGCAGAGCTTGTAAGAAAACATCAGACCTGTCAGGTTTACAAGTCCACTTGCCACCTCCACCCCCTTACATATATTTTTAAATAGCTAATTAGGAGATAATGCCAGTGGAACTAAATACTGTCACAAGATAATGATCTCACACCGCTATGGAAATGGTAAGTGGAAATGTTTATTTTCAAAGGGAAGAAACACTGATCATGTGCCTAATCCTACMTTCTTAAACAAGTAAAATTTCTGTAGATTTCAGTAGAGCCTGAGGTGACAACATCCTATTACTGTGGTAGTATTTCTGGATACCAAACGGCTGTAAGTGATGCAGTCATTTTCTCCAAATGATACTGGTGCAATATTGGAACAGATGTTTCCCTTACCTTTATTAGCCTGTTGTATCTTCAGACTTGGAGGACAAATTTTGCATGTGCTTCATTGCACCAGCTTAGATGATTTTTTTTTTTTTTTAAGATGTGCTTTCGGAAGTAGTGAGCTGTGGTTTGGATGAAGTTATGCTTATTTTTAACTTAGTGACGGTTTATAATGGTGATACACAAGTCTCGGTTGCTACTGMAGGGTCCCTTTGGTACACTAAGAATCCTGTCTGTTTAAATCAAAGATGGTCTTACCTCTGTCCTTCTGGAATTTYGGAAACAAAGGTTGTCTTAAGTTCACCTTTCAGGAGTAAACTACATTACCTTTGTGGGGAGGAGAAGGACTACTCACAGGTAACAGCTCTTCTGACCTAACTGCTCCYGTTCCTCAGTAACAGAACTGAGACAATTCAGGGCAGCTTTAGCTCTCAATCAGGCTCAGCCTTGTGTTCGTATTCCCACCAGCAGTGCTGGTGGGGGCTGMGCCGTGCAAATTCTTTCCCAGATCACCTGCCAGGGAACCTCTCTYTGCTATGAGGCAGCAGTAATAGGATGGCTGCATTCACCTTTACTGCCTTCCTCCAGGGAAGCCTTCTTTCTACTGCAGCTCTGGACTCACTGTAGATGCAGAGTTATCTTACAGWCAGGTGAATACTGCAGTGGAAATTGGAGGCAGCAACAGAGCTGCTTTCAGAGAAAAGCCRGACAATTAAAGCACTGAGGTTTATCCTGGTCAGAATTAACTCGTACAAGTTGTCAGTGCTTCTCCATGRAAGGTGGCCACTGGTTTTTAGAAATTACTGCTGTTTTCCTTATTAATGAAGCTTTATCATTCCATTGGATCATCTCTAACCTGCTGTAATTGTTCTGATTTTTATTTTTTACCTTGTTCACCAGTTCATGTCTAAATACAAGAAGATGTTTATATTGCATACATTCAGCTTTAATTGGCCCTTAAAAGAAGGTGTTGATTAGAATCTTCTCAACATCAACAGCTCGCTCGCACAACATTCTCTAATTACTGTTTATTAATTTAGTTCAAGTGGCATAGTTGAAAGCCCTGCTCAGATGGGAGAAGTAAATTGTCACTGGTATTGAATATGTAAATTATGTGCCATGTAAGTTTCCATGAAGAATGTTTAAAGTTAAATGTTACCCACATAAAGCCTTCCAGTTTCATCTAAGCCAGCCATATGACAGCTTTGCAAAAAGTGTCATGAAAATTTACCAGCCCTGGCAAAAAAAGTACTTGCCTATCCTTTACTTTTTTTTCTATTAACATAATCATGATGATAATAATAATTTATTTGCCCATCCAAAAAAAAAAAAAAAGTAATCATTCATTCGGGCTGGCTGGAGATTTGCAAAGCTGCCAATTGAATCTGAATTACGTGTTGCTTTAGTATAGACATTCAGCAGCCTGGATTTCTTGCCCTAGTGCAGTAACCCKCTCTTCTCTTTAATTAGCTTATAAAGTCAGAATTTCTTTAACAAAGTACTCATTAAACATTGCCTTGTTACATTACTTTAAAATGCAATTAAAAGTTTTAAGAGTGTTGTGGAGTTTGTGTGCCATTGTCAGCATCCATGTCATTCACTATCAGTTTCCACCCACTCACACAGATCAGAGGCCTCCTGTTAAATATAGATGGCTCTTCATAGCATTTCTAAATAGACTAGGGATAAAACAATATCTTGATGAGGATGACCTGACTGCACCTTATATTTCTAGGATTAAGAGAGAAATGGAGCGGAGTGCATTCTAAGGGAAAGAGGAGCCCAGTGTATTCGTTGTTCTTCCACCTCTGCAGTTCTCTCTCTGTGACCCTTTGCGTGGGAGTAGCTGCACATTGCTGGTAAGTGTGTGGCTTCCAAGTCTTCCCAGGCAAAGCTGCATGGGAATACCACACAGTTGTTCTATTATGCATCTGAAACAACAGAGAGCAGACATCGTGTTAAAAGAGAAAGAAAAATATCCAATGCCTGAATGCTGCCTAGGCCTTCACCCAGTCCTCACATTCTTGCTGGCTGCTGTTATGAATGGCACTAATCGGTTCCAGGAAATCTCTACAACAAGCATTATGTCACATATGGTTACATCATTCCCTCTAACCTCTAGGGCTTCCTGTTGACATCCTTGGAGCTCTTCTACTACCAAATGGTATTAGAAGAAATGCCAAGCTGTATTTTTATCCATTTCTGTCTRCCAAAAGCAATTCAAATGTTTCCGTTTTGCAGATTTCACCTGCTGGGTCTCATCTTTGCTCCTCAAAACAAGCAAATCTTAGTGGGCCTGCTCAGGGTCTCCCCAGATATTTGCATAAAGGAGGGTAAGAGCATGTGAGGGGTTATTGAGCAGAAGGGCCTAATGACTCTGCAGAATGTATTTGTTCTTAATCCTACCAAATTGCTAATCCAGCCTGTCAGTTGTGTAACCTGTTTTAAATTCCACCCAGGAAGCTGTTTCTCTGTTTCTTAATTCTTTCCTAGTAGATGCTGCTTCCTAGTGTGGGTTATGTTTCACCGTCTCATTGATTTCAAGCATTGTGCTACTTGGCTTTCCCCATTCTCCTTGCAGGATCATCTCCAAAGKTGGGAGCCATTTCTCTCTGGGAACAGACAATGACACCCCATCAGCTTCTCCTTGCAACCCCCACTTATCCAACTACTTAGCTGAAAAAAGCAGGGCTCAAAGTCTTTCCAGATCTAAGGTGCAAGATTTTTCCTTCTCAAAAGCTGCTATGCTCCTTGGTTTGGGTCTTTTTTATTCTTATTATTTGTCTGGTTTATACCTTCCTTTCATTCTAAGAGTTTCATTTTTGTGGCTGTTTCTGTGTTTGTTCACTGCTGCAGTAGGTATCAACAACATGATTAAATTCCAGCTTTGACTGTTGCAACATAAGCGCTCTGCCTTCATTATCCGCGGTGCCTAAAACTATTTGATCTCTAATAAGTTCACCTGCAAGTGTGCCTCATTTGCATGATGAGGCTAACTGGTGCAGCCTGGGTGCATATTGGTCTGTGATTTCAGTTTCTCTTCGATCAGATGCATCAAACAGAAGGAACTATTAGAATTGCCAACAACTGTATTTTTTTGTGTTAATCATGCCAGAATGCTAGGAGTCCCAGGCAGCCTTACCAGGCTGAAGAAATCTGATGATAAAAGGCATGTGAGTGCTTCTGATGTCAAATCACATACAAAACAGTGTTGTGCTGGGGGTAGTTGGTCTGGTTTGATGGCACACAGTGTTARGATCACACCCAGCTCCTGAGCAGGTTACTCAGTAGCCTCCTTTGGTGAGCTGCACATCCCATTGCCCCAAGCCCTTGAGCAGGCTGTGCCACCCAGCAAGGACCTCTCCCCTGGCCCGTCAGACCCACAGCTGGAGGTGTCCTTGGGCTCTACCTGACTGCCTCCAGGACACATTCATCTTGGCTGGTGCTGCACTTGGACCCTAAGTTGACATTTATTTGGCAGTAGTATCAAGGAGCTTACTGCCCAGAATGTGTAGGGAGAGAAAATGTGTTTTCTTACACCAAGCTTTTAGGAGCCTGAACCTTTCTTTGTTTCTGAAATGGAAGCAGCAGACTTCAAAGCTAAGTGTAAGTAGAGAACAGCAGCTCAGTAGTTGTGAGACTCATAGCAATAGTGATGAAAACATATCAAGTTGCCTGTTTCCTTTCCAGATCAAGCTCAGTATAGGCCTGTGGGTTTTTATGGTGTTCAGCATGATTTTTGGTGTTCAGCATGATTTTAAAAAGTGTGATTTGCCCCATTGCAGCATCCCTTACTTCTCTAATTTCAGAATTCAGCTTCTTACATTGCATTTTCATTTGAGACAACTTTTAATTGAGCTGAATGATCTCTGAGAACATCAAAATGTCTCTCATTGATCCACATGGGTCCTAGACTGAGTTCACATTTCATACACAAAACCAACTGTTTTCTTTTGCTCTTGGGCTCACACAGAAATTAAAAATCTAAACCAAGCAGAACCAAACAAAAGGATTCTGAGGAGCTCATCAGCAGTACTTGCTTTGCACTGGACAGTAATTTTTCTCTAGCACATACTTCCAAGAATTTTTTTAAATGTCATTCATACATCATCTTCCCCAACAGACAATAGTTGTTCCAGAGAAGCTGTTGCTCTCTATTAGGTCAATGATCAGTGAACTAAACATTTTCTACTTAGGCCTTCATATGATAAAAGCCTAAGAGCTTTGAAGGAGCCATTACAGACTATTGCCTTTAAGAAATATCCATTTGAAAATTCAGCAATTATGTACTTCTATAATAGCGTGTAAAAGGAGCTCTGGACCCATTATGGGTTATTGAGTAAATAATGTATTTTTAAAAGTGTCTAAGTAATTTATATGATAGCCTGTATTGGCAGCAAAGAGTGATTGTAGACTAAACATTCTGTCTTTCTTTCTTTTTAAAAATCTCATTTAAATCCCTAAATAGCAATTAAAGAAAGAAATCCCTGATGCAGTTTCAGTATTTCTGTAGTAGTCAATAGCTAATGGCTCTGACTTTGCTGCACTGAGGCTGCCATTTTGTGCTGAGACAGTTTTCTCTGGTCTGACTTACTTATTCTGTCTTGATTGGATAAGACAGGAGGCTTCATTATCAAATATAATATGGAAGTGTCCAGAGGCCTCCTGGAGGTCAGACTCACACTCATCAGACCTACCCACTAGCCACTAGCCAGAAGAGCCATGAGCCCAGAGAGAGAGGACAGGAAGCTGTCAGTCCCTATTTTGGGGGGAAAAAAGAGGCTTGGAGAGAGGAAATATGTTGTTTGAGATCATGCAGGGGACAAAGAACCTCTGTCTCCCYGGTCCAAGTTTCGTTTCTTTGCTTTATATTTAGATCTTCCATGGAGAGGCACAGCCCGCGCTGTGCATCCTGAGTGCTAATGCAAACTGCTCCTTTATCAGGTGATCTCAATACTCTTGCTTCAAAAGTAAGAATGGTGAAGGACTGGTAACAGAGACAGAAATAAATGAAGAAACAAGGTGAAAGCTGTAAATACTTTAAAGTTGTATTTGAGCAAAACATATAACACCTAAGAAAGCAATCAGTCTCTCTCATGGTTAGACTGTATTTGTCACTTAGGAAAGGAGAGTTGTCTGTTGGGATAATTGACTGGAGTGATGATGGAGTACCTATCACTGGAGCATTTCTGACAGAGTAGTCAAAAATCTGGGGAATGCTGTCAGGTATTGGACAATCCCTTCCAGTTCTGTTTTCTATGACCTCAGCATCCCATAGTGTATGAGTGGGAGCAGTATCTCAGCTGCGAGGTCATGGAAAATCTGTTTCTGACCTGGTCACCTCCTCACTGAAACTCTCTAAGATCTCAAAGAGTAAACAAGGCACATATCTGGAAACGAAATCTATAAGGAATATTAATCTGGGGGGGTAGGGGGAGRGGTGGGAAGGAAAAGGAATCAGTTGATCTGCAGACATTTTGTTCTGACCTATGGACCCAATGCTACAACCTAACGTTTTCCTTCTCACACCAAACTGCCTCATTCTGCAACAAATACATAGTTTGGCTTAGATACAAATCCAAAGCCCTCAAAACTTGAGTTAAAAGACCTCAGTGTCTTTGTCCCAAGAACAAAGTTATTAATTGATTCCCTGTGCCTCAATTCTAAATAATTCTGTTCTCCCTTTCAAGGAAAATTCCKCCTAATTTCAACCCAAGTCATACTCATTAAGTGATCTGGGATTATTCCAGACTGATGATTATTACTATGCAAACCACCAGTTACCACTGGTGGTAAAGTGCAAAACAGTATTTTAAAAATAAAGTCTGGAGAGGCATCACATTGAGATAAAACAAACATTCATTCTCCCATCATGTTGAGTTTCTCAGGACTTGCCTGAGAAGTATGCTAATGTTAGTGGTCCTCTCCTAGAGGCAGGAGGCTTGGATTGCTCCAGTACAYATATGAATATACAATAGAGGAAGGCACAGGCCTTTAAAATGACSACTATTTCCCCATGCAAATCTGACCTGTGTTCTTATTTTCAAACTCAGGACCACTGAGTATAATGCTGGTCACTGAAGGAAACTGCTTTTTTTTTTTCCCCTGTCAGTGCTTTAGAGACATTAAATTCATTATTTGAGGGTGTGTATGAGATTCTGGAAGTACAAATTTAAGTCTGCTATGCTGTGAGATTTTTGGTATGATATTAACTCACTCATTGGCACCTGAGAGAGGTTTGGGGAATTCAGCAAGTTCTCAACAATCCAGTTTGAGAGATTAAACAGAATTTTTGCTTGCTCAGGTTTGTCCTAATTTTATTAGATTTTCACCATTTATAATTGCATAAGCATGTGCAGCCAAGTACACAGATGGGGACTGGGATGATGTACAAGGACACTCAGGCTCCATAGACAGCTAATTGGTGGACTAAGGAAAAGGGACTTGGAAAGACTGGTATTTTTTTTCAGAACATTCCAGGGTAATATCCTGGTCCCCATTTAAACTGAGGCAATCAAGAGAGGAAAGATTTTAGCTGTAGATTTTGTTCGAACTGGAGAAAGAGATGAGAGGAACTATCTGATGCAGAAAATATCCAGGATGGAAGTTGTTGTTTTAGGCAAGATTCATTACTTATTTGTCTTGGACATAGGAAAAAGATAGAATGTCTCAAACCCATAGAATTAGCCTGATAAATATGGTGATATCAGAAGTTTTTTCATCAGGGCTAAACACAAGACAAGCAATGGTTAATGATTTCAGATAAAAGCAGGGCAAATGAGAARTCATTTTGTGTGAACATTGTTATTGTTAGCAAATGCCAAGCTGTAATGTTTTCAGCAATATTTTATATTTTGTTTTAGAAAATAGATCTGTTTTTTCTGTGGATAGGAGGGCTCTTGGGCCCCGAGGTAAAGTATGCTCTGGTAAAGTGACACCAGCTGAGGTACTGGCAGGGCTGTTTATGTGGGTACTTCCACATGAAATAATATGGCTGTCCATATTTGTTAAGGGAATGCTTCTCTTGACTTATTTTCTACAATCCAAACAGAAATAGGGTTAGGAGGGAAAAGTCTACACTCAGGTTTTTGCTCTGCAGTATTCTTTGTCTCTGATAAAGCATCTGCACTATGAAATTCACCCTGAATGAATGGACACTCCGATGTATTCAATTTCAGCAGAGAGGTCACAACTCTCAGGCTGAATTAGGCCATTTGGATAAGTTTAATAAAATCTACATGGGTTACAGACACAGAAGACTTCCCCCTCACACTGGCCTGGACTGAAGACTTGGTGGGTAACTAAAATGTTACTTTTTTGCTTTTGAAAAGCAGAATAAACCAAACAAGTTGGTCACATACTTGGACATGGACTTCCCAGCAAAGGGAAGTTTGCAAGGTCCTCTAAAAAGTCAGAATATTTGGTAAACAGATCGTGAAATATTTTCTACCAAAAAAAAAAAACCAAAAACCCAAAAAAAACCCAAGAGGGATTTAATAATGTTGGGATGTAGTTTTCTGTTAATGGCTTTATTTTCTTCTTCCTCCTGTTTAGACAGTAACATGTGAACTCTGACCACATCACCAGTGTGAAATTGCTGATTAACCTTTTGACTCTGACAATTGGKACTTCTCTCAACACCAACTGGTAATGCAAAAGACCATTAGTAGTTAATATTGGGACATCCCAGCTCCAGATGTCAAAAGGTTAATGAAAAATCAAGTATCGTGCTTTTACTGGGGAACTTGGAAACCTTCCCCCCAAAACAGTACATTTTTTTGTGATAAATAAGCCAGACTGCTTGAGCTGAGAAAGACGGGTGTTTTGCTAATGTGTACAGCTGTTAATTGAAAAAGATTTGGGTATGCTTKTTCTTCTGGATGTAGATAAAAGAGAGGTTTGTTGGAGAACTTAGCGGGTCTTGAACACCCCTTTGTTCAAATACATTACTTAATAACAACAATGCTTTGTTCTTTCTGTAACAGCCATGGAGGGATTTTGAGTGGAATACTCATTTTCTTTAAGTCATATCTGCCAGTAATCATTCCTGGCTTAAGACCAGCTGCCATTTATGTGTTTTATGAAAATATAACAGTTTTACACTCAAAACTATTTTCTTTTTAGGTAAAAGCTTCAGCACAAGCTGGTTCCCCATATCTACCATAAATGCTATTTATCACAGATTTCGGTCTTTAAAACAGAAAGATAATGTTAAAACATTTTGATTACCCTTTCCTTACTGCTATCATTCACAACCCATCTTTTCTAATTATGGTATTAGRACATTTACATAACCGGGAAAAGGGTCCTTTAACTACATTTCTATTATGTTTGGCACTTCTGTGAAAGGATATTATATTCATGTGCATTAGAGATTGCTTATAAAAGATCAAGACAATAATAGCAGATCAGACGATAAAGGTTCCCTTTTCTCCTCCCAGACAGGCTGTCTCTGACAGAAGAATACAGTTCATCAAAAGTGTCTGCAGGTTGTCAAACTCAGTGAGATTTGGGGACACTCGGAGGCTGTCATGGCCAACAAGAAGATTTTCTGTAGGGTTCTGCCATCATTCACCCTCAGGAAATAATCACTCACTACATTCTGCATGCTCTCATGATAGAGCTCTATTTGAGAGAAAAGAGCCATTTTATCAAAGGACAATATATCCCTTCTCTTGGTCCATGTAGCTTCCATTATCAGACCATAATAAATCATATTTATGTTCTCAGTTAATAAGACTGATTACAATGCAGGTTACAGGCATGGGAAAAGAAAATCAGGTGAAAAGATGTTTTAATGAAAATATGATAAGCAAACAGCTTCTTGTGAACATTTCAGGCTGTTATTTGTAATGATCACAGGCAATTTTTGATACATCTTCTTTAGCAATGGTTTAAGCTGCATAAATTGGCTTGCCACTTTATACGTTGAAATAGGAAGAATCCCAGTGTCCTTCTTATGTTGTCTAGAATCATTATATACATTATAAGCATAAAATGAGTTTAATGTATGTGCTTTGAAAAGAAGGGGAAAACAGAAAATCAGGGAAGACTGATTTTAATGCTGCTCAGAATGATTTTGAAATTTTCTACTCATCTTTGTTACTAGCGGTGCATTTTCCATGAAATTTAGGAATGACATGTACTGCTTTCATCTCCTTAAAATTAATATAGTGCRCTCTCTGTTTTTCTCAATTTCTTCAAAGTTCTTCTTAGAGCACTGTGCAAAGAGACAGAGAAAAATTCTCCACTCAAAGTGTAAGCATATCTGCTATTAATGCTGAGGGGTGTTAAGTGTCTGCTTCCCCAGGAGAATACACCCCTGTGTTCCTGAAGGGTACCCTGTTAAAATGGTGCAAGAATGTTYAACTCCATCACATGTGATACATTCAAAGGCCAACTTCCACAGATTTTTTTTTAAGTGATTAAGTCACTTTTTTATTTGGGCAAATATTTTAATATGATTTCATCATATGAGTGTATGGAGGGAAGTAGCTGATGGACTGTCTTGCTCTCATCTTGGGAAAAGTCTTATTTTGCTATTATGTTTAGTGTCATACTTTCAAGATGAGGTTAGAAATTTAAGGAATAATTTCCTCCTGCTGATACATAATTTTGACCAGGTCTCTGAAATTCTACAGTACTTGTAGAATGCTGGTGACAAGGACTCCTTGATGTTGTGTGTCTACAGGACCTATTCTGGTCTCTGGTATTTCCCTAAAATCACTCTTAAACAAATTTTAAAGCTTTGTATTTGGCCTGGCCCTGGAGAATGGCCATAAAATTACCTTAACCCTTTTAGGACACTTCAAAAGAGCAGTGCCCTTATATAAGAAAYAGCAAACTGCTCTTCAAAGGCAATATCCTGATATAACAACAGACATAGATAATGTACTTCATGATGGAACTGCTTGATACAGAGAAAAACATGTTGTAACTGCCTTCACCATGAAAGGGGTTTAAAAATGCTGCCTGCCAACTCCACAAAAACCAGAGCTGCTATTTCGGTTAAAGGCCAGTGGCTTGTATTTTTCACGTCAGTTTTCACTAACCTCAAACATCACTGTTATGACAGACTGTCATCCAACCAAACCAGCACTTTGGTGCCATTCAAGCAAGCAGGAAGAAAGCAAACACGAAGGAAACTTAAAAGTTCAATTAGTAATTGTGGGGTGCATGTGAGTGAACTACTTTTGTGTAACAATACTGATTACAGAAAAYGAAACACTTAAAAGAAAGTAAACAAAAAGCAGTGCTTTCTGAGCCAGTGGTGTTTTCTTGGCTGGCAATTTCTCTTTGTTCTGTTTCATGACACTRGGCTCAATGGTTGAAGGGGTGTTCTGGGCCAGATGTCAATCACAATGTCTGACATAAACAAAAATAGCTAAAAAGGCATGCCAGCATCTTCCTTTTGTTTTCCCATTAGCTCCATTTTTCTTTTCATAGGCTGACAAAAAATTACTGCCTCCAAGTGAATTCAGTAATGTCACTATATATCTCATATCTAAGAGACCTTTTGTTTTAGCTTTACTGGGCTTAACCACAAAAGACACTTGACATTGACAAAGAATCTGTCAAACACACAATGATCAGTGCAATGAAACCTCTCATGACAGAAGGGCACTATTCTGCCTCCCCCTTGCCTCCAGCAGCAGCCTGTCTGAGCAAAATATGCTGGAGCACATGTAGCAGCTGAACCATTACAGAGCAGGCCAGAAGCTGAGATGTGTCTTGTTTAAATTGTCATAGCATATTAGTATAATTAAAACTGCCAAAAGAGTAGAAAAGATAGATGGAAATGTTACATTACTTGTTTCTAGAGATTAACCTCCAGCCAGAACTGAAATAGAGAGACAYGTTTTGGATTTCTTAGAGCTCTGATATAGAAGAAAACAAGCCCAAGAGTACATCTCTCGAAGTGTGAGACATGAAGTCATAGTTCCTATATTTACACAAAAAAAAAGCAGAAATAGTGTTTCAGACAGACACTCTGTTTCCTCTGTGATTACAGCTCCCGTTGTGGCTGTGCTCTGCAGAGCAGTTGTATCATCTCTCACCTAATTCCTTTTCACTCCCCACAGCCTTTGTGCCCTCAAGGCCTTAACACCTGAAGGCTTGCTGATGAGCCGATGCCACCACCCTCCATCCTGTCCCCATCTGTGGGCTTGGCAGGTGCCCAGCCCCACAGCAGTATARGGTGTCCCATGGTCCAGGCTCTGGGCCTCAGCAGTGCCCAGCAGCAATGGTCAGGAACTCGTCCTGCACAGGTTTCATCCTCTGGGCATGCCCATCCCAAGAGAAGAGAAACAAATTCTTACTGGAGGCAGGTACAGATAGACTGGCCCCGAGAYTGCAGTTGAATCCAGTTCTCTTGTGCGCAGGAGAGCCAGTCGGGGAGCAGGAAAGACATAGATGGCTTTGCCTAAGCTGTTTCTGCTTCTCATTGCAAGGGAAGATGTTTGAACAATGGCTTCAATTTAAAATTTGACCTTTCAAATGCCAAGCTTCATGCTTGTTTCTGTGTTGAATGTATATATAAAACATATGGCTTTCTAAAACTGACTGTGAAAATGGTGTTCTCTTCATCAATGAGATGTTTTCCTTCCTATGCATCGTTACTTCTCATAACTATTCAGGACAAACTAGTTATGATCCCAATTTATAATTACCCCCTGAGTTGTATCTGGTGGTGAGAAAATGGTGTAAAACCTTCTGTGTATTTATTCAGTTGTAGATGTTGGAACCCAATTTATCCAGAAGATGGGGAGGACCTGAACTGGCTCCAGCAGTTCTGAAACATAGAAGAAGCAACACAACTTTAACAGAAATGGTACACTCAAGGAGAAGCTTCAGGAATCAGGTAGGTCTCATGTTCATTTGTTCTAGTATCGATAAACTTCACAACTTTGCCTCATTTGCTGATTTGGTTTAAGTAGAGAGATGTTAAATGTGAGCCTTAAAATTTAGSTTCTTACATATTTCCTGTATTTTCCAAATTTAAATCTTGGTTAATGACTTCTCTGTATAAGGTTTCTCTTACATTTCTGTCAGGGCTCGTAGATGTGCACAACTAGTAAAAAATACGTTATCTGCATTTAGTGTTGGTTTTTGGAACCCTCACTGCCAAATCACCTCTCCACTGCATCTCACCTCACATGCATTTCTGTGTAGTGCCAGGAGAAGAATGGAAAATAGCCATGAAGTAAAAGCAGATTCTGCTTCCATTAAAGGCTATGAAAACTGTGCTTTTACTTCCACTTACTCATAATAGTGGAGAAAAATGAAGTGGAAACAAGCACAACAAAACACCTCGCCAGCTATCTACAAGCTAACCAAGGCTTCCACTAATGAGGTGCTCTGGCATTTTGAGAAAGACAGGTTCTTCCAGAAATGGAAAAAATACACTGAATTTTTCCTTCAGTTCTGAAAGACTGGTGAAAGAATAACAAATTGTATTTCAAAAAAGGGATGACAGTCAAACTTTTAATGCTGTCTGTGCTATTAAATACCTACAGATGCCCRTATAGTTTCTTGTCAACTAAATGCTTTTACATGTATGTTTGKCAGCTTATTAAATATTGATACTTACAAACCTCACCTAATAATCCAGTGTATTTACAGTGGCATCTAAATGACTACAACATTTTTAAGAAAGTTCACATCAAATCACAGTAATGGAGTAATTTTCAGGTCAAATTCTCTAGAAGACTCTATACCATGAACAATCACATAGTCTGTTAAACAGAACARTATAGTTTGTGGAAAAGATAATAGTCCAGATCATGAGATAGCACCAGATTTCACATTATGATTTCCAGATGTCTTTGTGAGCGTAATACATACAGCATTGGTTCAAGTCTAAYCTGCATGGCAGAAGTGCAAGTTCCAATTTTCCAATTTTCTCCTCACTGGGGCTGTGTGGAGGAACAGGAGGGCATTGTGCTGCTGCTTTGGAAAGAGGAATTTACCTGAAGARCAGGGGAAAGTCCCAACTAGCAGTGTCCACATTCTCATCTGGCTGCAGAAAGCTGGCAAATCTGCCCCTGACTGTCATCTTTCCCACCTCAGCAGCACTTTTTCTGCACACTTGTCCCACATGGACAGCACAGACCTCCCTGTCCTGTCCCTGTCCCTAACCAGTGGAATCATCAACATTCTCTTTTGCTTACAATGCCAAAAAGACTTGAGTTACAGCAGCCTGTCAGAGCTGTCAAGTTTCTCTGAGAGCCTGGTTGTATTATTCTAAGCAGTGCRTGTTGATTCACTGCAGAGAGAGAGAGGTTGGACTTTGCCAAACTGAAGCATCATATACTCATCCAGAAGCTCCTGGAGTGAGTGTCTCTGCAAGCTGAAGGCAGCTTCCCAGCTGTGTCCRGGRTGCAACTTAGGAAACAAAGTTCACYGAATGTCCTGTGTAAAACAATGTATTGCATCARTTTCCTGAACCAGGGACTAGGTGAAGTCGTGGTACATCGTTGGCAGCCTGGGGGATTTACAGCAATCTGCAGGGCAGTCCAGTATCCCCCTGCGCCCAGAGGGGCCACAGATGTCCAGGAGTTTCTGCTGGGTCACGTGTAACTATAAACATGAAACAATATTTCTTCTGTTCCATTCCTGCTGGAGAGCACTTTACTGGTGTAGGTAAATGGGATAGATAACAGTGCAAGGATCTGCCAGGACATTTGCTTTTCCATTTCAGGACTGTCGGGTTGGGAAGTGAAAAAGAGCTCTGCAAACCAAACAGATGTCTGACATGACAATGCAATGGGAAAAAAGGCTCAATGCTACATTTTCTCCATGGAAATTAGTACAAAAAATTGTCAGTTTGGGCCTTCATGAATTTCTCTCTGGAGTCAAACATTCAGTATGAATCTAYAGAAAAGTGCAAGAAAGGAGTATTTTGGCTTCTTCAATCCTGTGCACAAAACCTCCCAGGGTTTCAGTGAGGATTTTAGCATCTCTTGTAGTCTTCAAACGTTATACTGTGCAAGGATGTGCTTATACATAATTTTGTAATTGAAATGGCATGTTTACTGTTCTATTTCATGCTTGATTGTGTTTTTTAAACACCTTTACTCATGCTGTTAGAAGTGGGATTATAATTAAAATGTCCTGTTGAACACCTTGTTCAGTTCAATGAAGGCATAATAGAAGTATAAATACTTGTTCTCGTTGACTCTGTGATGTCAGCACAACAAACGCAGTAAATTTCATGAAACAAATCTCTCTTTCGCCAAAGCATCTTTCAGAAGGGAAGGGAAAATAGAATCTCTGACTGAGCAAAGAGGGGGCCTCTTCTTTGGAAAAAGGAAATATTTTAGAGATATTATCTGTGATACAGATGTGTTAACTAAGGCATGGAATGATTGATTGACTTAGCCAATTTTGAGGCAAAAAGAATCAGTGGAATTTGTTCCTCTACTCACAGTCCCTTGGCCTAAAGACTAGGCAGCACTTTCTCCTACTCTTACCTTGGAAATGCTGAGTCTGCCTGTGAAGTGTTAAGGAGCAACTTATATTTCTTAATATTCCTTTTTCCTTAAAATATATACAGATATAGAGACTTCATGCTTTTATGGTGGAGTGGAACKACAACACAACATCCATATGTTTCTAAGTCACCATCCAGTGGTTTCAGAACTTCTGCATAGCAATAATGGTTTCATTTTCTTCATGTTTTCTCTTGTACTCTTGTACTACCAATGATGTGATGTCTAACCTTTCTGGCAGGCAATTGTTCAGTCTTAAGGAGCTTTAAATTACTTCACAGCTTGAAATTCCATGTAAGTAGGGATGTTCCAACACTTAGCCTAACTGATGCTTTCTTGGGCAGTTTACTTGGATACCTTGGCTCAGTTTCCTCCCCTGAAAAATGGTAAAAACAATGTCTGTGTTCTTTGTGCACTTTGATGTAATGATATTTTTAATGTACTAAATACGAGGCTCTACACTGCACACACCTCATGAGGTTTTAGGTTTGTGTCCTTTCATTGGCTGCAAGAGGACTCTCAAAACCAATCCCAAGATGTGTRATATTTCTGTGCCAGAGCAGGACTTGCCAGTGAGTAGCTGCCCTATAGGAAAAGTCCACATGATTTTTATGAAGCAGGCAAATAAGAAGACCCAAAGGAGATTGCCTTCTGTGCCGTTTCATTTCCCCCTACTTCAAGCTCAACAGAAGTTGGACAGGCAGATGGTTCACAGAATTTAGTCTTTAGAATGAAAGCAGTGAGGAAGTGACAAAGTAGGAGGGTTTTTTTCCCTTGGGATGAGAGAGGCAGGTAGGTACACAGAACAGTGCAGCCCAGACTAGAGAAAGGTGCAGCAGCAGCAGGGATAAGGCTACAGAACACAGAATGTGCAGGATAAAATGGACAAGAATGCTGTCAAGTAGCATTGCAATAAAACTTGTTGTATTTCTTTGGATGTCTCATTATATGTACAGGTGCAGCTTTACACACCCACACATGCTGCATTTATTTCAGTGTGTGATCATATAAATACCTGCAGGTGCGATATTGAAGAGATACCCATGCTGAGGCATGAATATGGAGTTCCACATCTGTATTTGCTGCCTGGTTCACACAATGAATTAGTTCAGTCAGTGGGTTCTATTTCCACCTCCTGTCTGCACTTTAGAACTAAAACCAAAGTCCATCTTGGTAACTACATTTAACAGGATATCATGGCATAGAACTAAAATGGGACAGGGAAGGTGTACAGGACAATCATCATTACCTCATTGTGTTGCACATGTATATACAAARTTAGGAAGAAAGTAATTTCAGATAAAAATGACCACATCAGCTTAATGTATGGTAATAAATCCACAAAGTTGGAAATTAATTTGTCTTTTGGGACACCTAACACTTCAACTGGGCTTCAGTGCAGTGGCTGGTTTTTCTCTTGTGGCACACACAGAGATGGCTCCTTGTCTACAATACTGTCAGATAGCCCGTAATACATGGGGTGAAAATCATGACTGCTGCAAATCCATGATTCTGAATTCACTGACTTGCTTACATGTAAAAAAGTCTCAGCCGTGGCATTGCACTCATGCAGCTGGTTTCATTAAACAATAACATGATGCTGACTACTTGACTGCAAAAGCCCTCTTTTCAGTGTCAAAAATGAAAAGCAGTTAAGGGACATAAACTGGGGGCAACTTTTTGCATATAATTGCTGCCTGCAGAGACTCAAGATTGTCAAAGTTTCTTACCTTTTATAAGGCCTTTAGTGATAGCTTTTGTTTCCCAAAGAGAAAAATAAACCTACCAAAGTTCCTTTGAACATTTCAGCAAGCTTTCATAGCCTTAGCTGTGAAAGTAACGGTGTCACATTCCTAATAAGGATGTATAGGAACTGTGTTTCAGGAGTCCCTGCTGCTTTCTTTGTGGAAGCTATCTCAGATGCTTTGGGATTATTTGGCAGTAACTTCTTTTTGCACTGTGATTTCACAGAGATCTTCTCTGTTATCTTCTCTTCAGTATATTCCTTTGAAGATCTAGGCAGAAAATGTGGCACTTGAGCATTCAGTGAAATCKTTTTTGCATCACCATCTAGCTAAAGTCAGGGCTGTCCCGTGACAGAAAATGTGGAAGGACCATAGTGCCCAAAATTCAGCAAAAAATTTTAGACAGTGTTGTCCAAAGAATAATAATATGGTCAACTGCGATTTCATAGGAAGCAAAGGAGAAAAGAAAGCATTTTTTTTATTCTGATCTGAATGTCACTGCTTTACCCAGAGGGAGCCTAGCTGCCATCCACAGCTCAGAGTAGTGAATGTACTCTGCGCAGTGACACAGGAAAAGGATCCTAAGTGGCTGGAGCAATGGTAGAAACAACACTGTGCTAACGAAGAGTTTCRTCCAGGCAAATTTAACTCCCTCAGAATTAGCCTGGGTATCTCACCATGACACATTTGTTTTAGAGTCACAGCATGTTGCAATTATTAGGTTCTGGCAGGCTCCTACACAGGAACTGTGTCCAAGAGCCTTTATTTCATCTGCTCCAATTGGGAAGAGCGTGGCAGTTYCTTTTGGTTGAGACTTTGCTATAACGATCTGAGCTTTAGTCACTGTGAGATTGGCCCTCTGCAAAGCATTCAGTTGGTGTTACAACCAGAGACAACTGAGCTCCAAAAGTGAGTGCAGACTGTGTCTACTTATTAAGTAAAGGGGCATGTGGAGAGCCCATTACTCAGTAATTGGTGCTCGCTGCCAGTTAGCATTCAGCAGGACTTCCAGGATTTGTATAGACCTTACAGCCCAGAATGGCCTGGGATTGTTCTTGCTTTATTTGCTACCGCTATAATCAGCTGGTGGCTCTCTGCTTTGTAGAGCTACCAAAACCAGCTTGATCAGACTGAAAGGCACCTGGAAGTACAGGATGTCCCCAAGGAATTAACYCAGAGGGACACGCAGGTCTGAGAGACTTCATGGCTAAGGTTGGGTTCCAGTTTTGTGAACTTGCAGGTTTCTTCCCCTGCCAAGGAAGAGGAAAATGATGACTGGAACTTGTGATAGGTGATACAAATGCCTGCCTGATTGTGTAAAACCTTAAATAGGTCTTTAAAGATGAGGCCTTCAAGTGTCATGTGACTCTTTAGTTGAGAAAACAGCACTTTAGTATGGAGAGTCTGGAGAGACAGTGTGGGAAGTCTTTACAGAAAAGACTATGTGGGCATTTGACAAAAACACAGCTCTGTGGAGTACATGCCACTCGCAGCTTTGCCATGGGGAAACCTTTTGTTCTCCATGTCCCAASTGCTACTGTTGCTCCCAAGGAGGCAGCTTGGTGAGGATTCAGACAGGTGCCCACAGCTCCTGGACTGGCAGGCTCAAGCAGCCCACTCTGCTGCCCAGGAGCAGCGGGCTTCGGCTATGCAGGGGAACAAACAGGCTCTTCTCATATGCCTATTCCCTGCACTATTCTATTAATTTATTTWTTCACAGCACAAGCATCATTAGCCCCGGAGGCTGACATGGCGGTTGAATGTATGCAGACAAACTGCTCTCCCCAAGCAAGAGGGCCCTGTCAACACCCGTGAAGCGAAAACCTGTCTGCGCCGCAGGTGAGAAARTAAATAACGCAGCGTGCGGCCACGGGAGTAACGCCCGTCAGCGGGACAGCCGCAGCTACGTCCGCTGCCCCCGGCGACGGCGGCCCGAGGCCCGGGGTCCAGGGTAGAGCCCGTCGCGGCTCCCGGCCCATCGCGGCGCCCGGGCGGGCGGGCGGATGGCAGCCCCGCCATCAGCGGCCCCGCTCCAGACGGCGGAGGGCGCCGTTCGCCGCAGCGTCCGCCAGGTGGCGCCCTTGCTCGCCGAGTGGCGTGAGGGCGGGCGGGCCCGAGAAACGCASGGTGCCCACCCCCCTGCCCGCCCTGCAATTTCGGAAGCATTATAACTAAAGTGTTTTCAGCTTATTATTATGCATGAGTAAAAATTCCATGAATGTGTAACATTTTCGCCTGTATTTCCCTCTTTTATAACATCATTTAAATTCCTCATTAATAATTTAGCAACGTTCTGGATTTTAATCACTTTTCTCATCCCCGCGGTCTCTATCAGAGGCAGCGCTCTCCTCCCCACCTGAAGGTGACATGGAGGCAGGGCTGGGGCCAGGGGCACCCGCCCCAGCACCCTGTCCGGCTGCAGGGTATTTCCTTCATCAATTAAAAATCCAAAGTTTACCAAACCTAAGGCTTGAGTAGGTCACCATTAGTGAAAATTTAATATTTTTTTTTGTCTGAGTTTAATTATGGTGGTATTTATTTGATAGCTTGTTACTGTAAATAAAAGAGATAAAAGGAGCCCTTCACTCGAGCAGCTTCAGAGTTGTGAAATATGTACCTAATTAAAACTATTGGTGTAAAAGGCTAATAAAGTACATGTGCCTACTAGATGTCTCATTGTAATGAATCTCGGCTAACTTGCTCTGAGTGATGTATTTTGGTGTTGGTAGTAAGAGCTGAATAATGGAATTTATCATGAGGTGCTCATGAAGGACCACGGGGGTCTGGGAGGGAAAAGGGAGGGCATGGTGCCCAGCCACAGTGGTGTGCAGAGGGAGTGGAGCCCAGCTTCCCCGAGCACAGGGACTGCCAGGGCCCAGCCTCGACCCCCAGGTGGCCATGGAGCCCCCAGGGTGGCCATGGAGCCCCCAGGGTGGCCATGGAGCCCCCAGGCCAGGCCCCGCGGGTTGCAGCTGTGCAGGCTGGGGCAGCTGGAGGGGAGACACGAGCGCCTGTGTATGGCCTGGGTGCAGAGGTGAGAGCGCTCCCACTGCCCCTGGGCACTCCTCCCCAACCAGCTCCTCACCCCCTGATTTCCGCCTTGTTTTTGCCTGGCACGGGTGCGGCGCAGGCCACAGCATGCGCTCCTCAGTCTCCCAAACCCAGTGCAGATGGGTTGTCTAAAGCATTTCAGATGGAGTTTTGGTCTTGTGCCAGCAGCTAATCAAAGTCTTAATTCTGGAGAATAAAAAGGCTGGGCTTTCCAAGCTTCCTCCAGCTGGTTTCTGCCGGGGATGTGGACAGCCAGCACTGCTGAAAACCCTTTACTGTGGGTGCTCCCCGTGCCTTGGGCTGGGCGGTGGGGCTGGATGTGGGGCTCGCACARCTCTCACTCTGTGCAGCCAGGCTGGGCTCGAGGTCAGTCACCTGGCCCATCTGAAGGGGCTAGCTTTGTGCAGGCCTGTGGACAGAGCCCTCACATCCACCCCGGTCTGACCTGTAGTGAAGTCAAGCATGTGAAAAAGTGTGTGTCTAGTACCCCTGCCTGAGACCTGAGCTTTGCCCTTTGGAGCAGTACAGGCTTGTCAGGAGAAAGGGTATGTACTGAGAGAAGCTGGGTAATAATAAAGTGGCTGGTTAAGCAGAGAAAGAGCCTTCAGACTAGCACATATTTTTATTGCTTTTTTTTTTTGCAGCAGAGCAGTGAAAACATCCCAAGGCAAAGTGTCTATTGTAGGCTTTCCTGTAGTCCCCAGCAACAATTATTTAAACACTTGCACGTGTATGAGTCCTGTCGGCATCCCCCATTTAGCAGCACTGCGGGCAGCCAGTGGGGCTGCTGCACTGGGCTCTCCCATCTTAACCTGGGGCCCAGAAAATCTGCGGGGCCTCAATCATGCTGTGCCTCACCCCACATGAGGCTGGAGGGCTTTGTGTACAGCAGAGCCATCTGGGCTTTGCTGTCTGTCCCAGAGTCAGATCTGATGAGTTCAAATGACTCTGTGCAAGTGTGTGGTAGCTGCAGCTGTTGAAAGCGCCGGCAGTTTCTGATCTGCACATGAATTTGGAGTTTTTTTACAAGTGCTGCATCGGCAGTTTTTCTGCAGAATGGAATTTTCACTATTGCTAGTATCAGCTGGAGAGACGGGTGGAACTTGTTATCTTCCTTGCAAAACCTACCTTTTCACAGGGAATAGATTGTTTTTCATGCTTGTACAATATGTTTATTGAGTAAATTGAGAACAAGACTGGAAAGAACTAGTCTGTTTGTCCCTGACTTACTGTTTAACCTTAGTAAAGTCTCARTCATTCTGGAAACCTGGTTCCTCTATCTGTAAAATAAAGCAATAATAGCTATATTGGAAGGGTCAGTCATCAATATCTAGAAGTGGCTGCAAAATTTCAGGTGGAAGTGTTACGTATTGTCTCACAAACAGTGTCTGTTGTGCTTTCTCAGAGACCTGTAAAAATCTGGTTTTTCCTGCTGAGAGAATTTTTCCCATGTTGCTCAATCAATGATAATTTTAATATATTTTTCTGCCTCTCAGTTACATCTCAAATATTTGTGTCTGTGCAATTTTCATGGTCTCATATCTTGTCTCTTTCTATATAAAATGTATGTTGTCAGCTTGAGGGGATGCTTTTYCTTTCAGCTTCTTTGTAATTACCAAAAATAGTTTTAACCTGTTAAAACATTTCTGAGTTGTCAGCTTGGTGTGGTATTGAAACCTTGCCACTTTGCAGCAAACCTTCCTATGCATAGTGTTTACCTTCTGATAACAYTTCTAATAAGAAACCAAACACCAACACAATGAGGGGGATATTTGCACTGTTGGGTCCAGTGTGACTTTGCATTATGAAAATATGCAAAAATAAATTACACTTGCATAGGTAAGAGAGAGAAATACAATCAAGTTGTTTTTCCTGGCTTTCCTTCAAGGCAGAAGACCTGTGTGTGTGTTTTCTAGACAAGTTTTATGTATACTGGGGTCTGGGACCTGGGACAGGGATGCCAGCCTGTGCCAAGTTATTTTGATTTCAGCATGACTTCACCAAGAGACCGCAGCATAGAGAACTACCCCCTTTTAGAGGGCACTGAGCTTGGGTCCTCAGCCATGCCTGGATTAGAGGCCCTCTGAACTAAAGTTTTGGGTAGAACCAGAACAACAAGAGCTAAATTCAGTTATTCTAACAGAGATTGAGGCTGCAGGGGAACTTTCCACCCAAAGTGGGTTTCCTAGATGTTGATAGCAGATGGCCCTCCATTCCCACAGTCTAGGAATGTCCTGATGTTTCACTCTCAGCGTAACTTGTTCTCACATCACAGAACTTGTAACTTTTTTTAACAAGTGTTAAGATTTGTTAAGCTAAGCTAAACACTTTTAAAATTAATTTTTGTCATAAATTACTAATTCTGTCATTCAGATTCTCAGAGATGGTTAATATAATTTCCCTTTGGCACCTAAGCAAAAATGTGACCTAGATTTCATTCTTCTGGTGGTATAGAGAACAGTGTAACCATAACCAGAGGTGACCAGTACCAGCCCTATCTGAATGTGCCTTGCAATCTCTGCGTTTGTATATTTGATGTTTCACCAACATTTTATTTTTCTATGCTCTGCCTATATCCATTGCCTTTATTCTGCTTTTTTCCAGCTTTACCTTGATTTTCTCTATGAAGCCAAGGACACCTGACATTGGTTCATCACATTTTTAGGATTATGTGYTCAGGAATATCTGCTCAGGGAAGTCTATTTTCACTATTTTGCACCTCTGTAACAAGAGCTTGGGACTGGACGAGTTTTTGCCTGGACAAGTGTGTGAAGAGAGCTGGTTTAGACTAGTATTGCAGAAGGGAGCTGTTATGAATGGACTCAGATGCATGGAGATCTGAGAATGATAAGTCCAAGGCTTCATTCCTCTGGGTCAATGATCTTTGGGGACAAGGCAGAGAGGAGACAGGAGTTGAGGAGATACTGCTGTTTTGGAGTCTGTTTCAGGTCACAGTCTTGCCAGGTCAACAAAAGTCACACAATGTGAATGGTGCCAAAGCAGACTTGATGGCTCTACATGAATATTTATCTTCTGTCTTTTTATTATAAAGTTCATTTTGCATTCTGACAGAGTTGTCATTACACACCTTTTTTGATGACCTACCAGAAAAAAGACCCCAAATGTGCTTTGTTTTGCAGTACACCAGGCAACAAGCCAAAATGTAGGAAACCTTTGTGTCACCCTCTTCTTGGAGCTTTCTTCCAGAAATTCTGAGTTGTACTGGATCCAGCCTTTGCCAGCTGAGCTGTGGTGACCCTAGACTTTGTCCTGAGACATGTTTTGGGGCTGCTGTCTGGGCTGTAGTGCTACTGGCAGCAGCACTTGCATTCCTTCGACTGATCATCGGTTGGAGGTTATGGGTGCTGCTTGACCCCTGACTCGTGTCAGGTACCCTTGTTTTAGATCCTTGTGCTGACTGGTGGCCAGACTGCCTTTCCCCATTCCGTTCAAGTTGTATATAGTTCTTTGGCATGCATCCAAACCTAATGCAGTATAAAGGGAAAGGTCTTCAGGTTTCCAGACTGTATACACATGTGGTCAGAGCCCCAGCTCATTAAATTAGTATGTGCAGTGGAGATCAGCGACTGATTTATGTTTTCATCTATGCAAGGTAAATTGGATTGAAACTTCACACTGTTTAAAAGGGAGAGCTGAGATTCTTGCTTACCTTTGAGTTCTAAATTAGCAGGCACATGACCAAGCTGCATGGACCTGAAGAAGCTGGTTCTGTGTTAATTTGATGCCTATACCATTTATTTCATTGGAGCCTTTTGTATCAGAAACCACATGTACACAGCCTCACATTGTGAAGCAAGATTAATTTAGCTGTTGGCAAATTATGTGCTATATAAGAATGTTCTGTGACGACTTGGATCGCAAATTCTACTTCTTCATTTTTGCAATGCAAATTGCCAGTAACATGAACTACTGGTTTCAGCTGAACTTTACAGAAATGTGAATGATGAACCCAAAATAAGGAGATAAATGGTGGAGAACTAAATGACATAAGGCCTGCTGAGTCAGATATTAAGATATATCAATATAAACGATAACATAGAAGTTAGATGTGAAGGTAATGGCAAAGGTTTTAGAGCTTTGGTTCCTCTAAAAACACAGAAGGGGTAKCCTCTCAACAAAATGTTGATTTGTGATTCTCAGCTGTAATTACAGAGAGCAATACAGGGGTGACTACTGAGAATATTTCCATGTTTCAGTTTAATAAGTTATTTTAATGTTTCTAAAATCTCTCTTCTTTTAGAACTGAAATTCTTGTGCTCTCTCTTTCTCTCTTTGAATTGTTGTAGCAATAGCTGCAGTGAAACAAACTTCCCACAGGTCTACCTTGGAGAACAGAACCACTCTGGTAATAGAGATAAATTTATAATATGCAAGCTCAGTTTTTGGTATGCTTCCTAACTGTACCAATTCGCTTGAAGATTCATTTGAAATGTTCCTTACTCATGTCAGTAAGATGTAGAAAGATAAARTTGACTTGCTCTCTGTATTGCTGATGATAACTTTTTCCTTGAGTTTTATTTAACCTTAAGATTGTATTGGTTCCAGTCTTCATATTCATGGGCTCTCCTAGACCAAACGAATACCTTCACCAGTGSCTTTAGACACCATTTACTAGCTTAAAACCACACCAACATTTTGCTGCTTGTACCTGGTTCCTCCCTGTATCTCTGCCATCAAAGAGGCCAAGCAGGCATTCCCTAATGCAGGACAAGTAAAGCCAGCCTGGTTAGCTCATATCCATGTTCATCACCAGGTGAAATGAATCTGGCTGCCTTAACTTAAACAGATTAGGAGGTGATTTGTGATCCATTTTGCTAATGCAGCAGTATGTCGTGTACTTGGAAGACAGCAATAAGAGTTAGAGACASTGTTGTCATCTCCCAGAGGAGCTCCCTTGTAGTCTCTGGTTTTCTCAGCGCTCCCATCCTTGAACCCAGTTTTGTACCCCTCAACTTCCATGTTTTTTCTACATATATTGCCTTCGTTTTCACTTTAGCTGCCACAACTAAAGATATATTTTGACATTTTAAATGAGTCTTCTCTGTTCAGCTTGCTCTGTCTTTATTAATTAAATTTGTGTCTTCATTTTAGGCTCCTTCAGTTCATCTCTTCGAATTTCAGCTCTTACTTTCCATTTGCCTTCATTATACTTTGCCATCCTTGAACTGCACTGAACTCTTCCTCATTTCACATCTTCCCATACAATATTCAGATCTGCTATTCCTCTGTCTAATTTTACCATGGCTGATGTGAAAATCTTCTTTGCTAGAGAAGCAGCAGTGAGGAGGCAGACCTTTCTTCTCTTTGCTACATTTGTTCTTGCTCTTACATAAAATCCCAGCTGAAAAAGGGCATTCTCCTCTGTGATCRTAACTTCACATTCCTCTTTTTCCTCCTACTCTTCCCCTTGGAATACATTTTAATACATCCTCATCCATGGAAACTATACTGTTTATGTTTGCAATTTTTCAATGTGCCTGGAGTTGGTGTTTTTCAGATGAGCAGTGTATTAAGATTTAATCTGAACCTAGTCAGATAATATTGACCTGCAATGAAAAAGCTGTATGAATGAGATAGCAGCAGACAGCTAAAAGTGCTGAGTGCCAAATCCTGACTGAAAAATGATACCCCAGAATTTGGTGGTAGAGAGTAGATGGGACATTTATGAATTGAAAAGCTTTCTGATTGTTTAGATATTGTGGGTTTTTTTTTTTAAAGTTTCTCCATTTTTTCCCAATGTTTGCCAAAATTTGCCTGTGCCTGTRGGGTGGTACTGCAGCAAGCTTCCAGGAGCTGCTTATCCCTTTGCTAGCTACCACATCCTGATACCAACCCTAAGGCCTCTCTGTTTTGCCACAGTAGACGTCCCCAAAATTAAAACAAAGAACTGAATCTAAGACTTTGGATTCCTGAATCTCCTCTCTATGCCTATTTCAGCTATCTTTCCTGCTTTTCACCGTTAGCAGTCATCAAGTTCCAAAATCAGGGTTTCCTGAAACAAATCCCTAGATGTTAAAATATTGCCATAATTTGTGTTAGGGCCAAAAACAGTGAGTYGGCCCTTGCCCAAAGCAGCTTTAATCCTGGTCATGTATATGGAAGTTAGGAAGAGAAGCTGATTCTGCATATATCTGAGTTGCCTGGGTTAAATGTGGAGAATTATTTCAGCAAATAGATTCAAAACCTTCCCCTTCAGTTTTTCACAAATTCCAAATTTAGATGCTGCTCTAAATGAAAAGAAACAATTAAAATGCCTTTCTGAATGCATTTGGAATTAAATAAGTTACTGTAATTTCCCTGGGCAAGCTAGCTCTTTGGAGGGGGCAAGAGTTGCAAATGGAAAAACAAACAAACAAATGAGTGAGTAACTGTGSGATGTGCTGCCAGAGAATCAGAAACAAGCCTGGTAGAAGGGGGAGGAAAAGGCTCTTGTCTGCTGTGGGACAATTTGTAGAAACCAAAATGTGGGAGAGAGTTGAAATGAACAGGAAAAAAATTCCTGTCTTTTTTTTTTTTCATCCACATAGTCAGGCTACCAAGATGCATGATGCTGCTGTGAAAGAGGACTGACTTCAAGGTCTTTGAAAAAGAAAATAGAAATTTACAACTTTGTTGTTCAGTTTCCTCCTTTACAGGGATTCTTTTAGTCACACAACTAGGAGATGAATCCCTTGGTTGCAACTGTAAAGGGGAAGACTGAATGACCGTGCCAAATGCCCCAAGTTAACAGCGAGCTGAGAAAAACCTGACTACCAGCTGCCTTTCTTGCCTTCCAACTCCTGGACCAGTGAGAAATCAAGACATGGYTAGGTCAGTGTACAGGTACAAAGCATACTTCACCTCCCATGGACTGGGGATGGGGAAGCGAAGGGAAGAGTGCTGCAGAGCTGCTGATTGCTCTCCAAAGACTTCCTGTTAGGGAAAATCCTCAGTTGACCATTTAGGGTAGTATTAGAGCTGCTCAGTGCTGCTGAGGCATGCAGAGAAGCTGCAGATGGGGCTGAGAGTACAGCTTGATACTTCTCTGTTCAGCCACCAGTTACAGCATTATCAAATRATTGCTGGAGGTGGTACCAAGACTGTTGGAATGGCTGAAGGCAAAGAAGGAGCTCTGCTTTTAATGAAAAGGTAGTTTATGCRCAGCATTTTTCTTATTATAATGATAAAATGGATATGAAGCAGCTACACTCCAGACCCTTACTTTTTTTAGTGCTATTTATTTTTTTTTTCAGAGCATTGAAAACAAGACAAGCAAAAGGAGGGGAGGAAAAAAAAAGGAAAACGAAAACTCCCTTCAGACAACAATCACCTTTTGAGCTAAATTCCCATGCTTGGTCTTAGCCCAGAGGGATTTGTCTTGAGTGAAGTTCGAAGAAAATCCTTTCAGCAGTTTCTGAGTTACTTAAATGTAACTATGGAGGTTTGGATTCAGATGATTTTTTTTTACTTATATAACTCAAAAATAGCTTTGCTTTAAAACTTTTAAATTAACACTCCTTAACTTTTCAACTTGTCACCTATCCTACTGTATGGCTTATAAAATTTTAAAGCTAATAGTATAACAAACTCAAATAATGATACTGCAGATGTCCAAATGAATCTTGGGAGAAATAAATTACAGGAGTCACAATGGGTTGTTACTGAAGAAAGASCAGCTGCATGCCTAAAACCATGTGTTGTTACTGATCTGAAAAAGGCCCAGTTTTTTCTACTATTAAGAAGCCTAAGTGTGATTGGGTGTGGATTTTAATACACAGTTACACATACAAAATTAAGCATGTAAGTCCTGTTCCTTTTTTTCCTCCTGATAGACCTGATTTAGATTTGTCAAAACATTCTCTTAAATTTTCCTGCTTTCTTTTTAGCACAAACCAAATCAACAGGACACTTAAATGTCTCCTAAATATTTATGGACTTCAAAGTCACTGAAATGGTCTGTGATTTTCTTACTGTTATTATTTWATTGCCAGAAGATTGAGGCAATGAGAAGTGAAGTGTCTTGTAAGTAATGGTTTTTCCTTTTTCTTTGTCCAATCCTCCTATTGCTCTCTGAAGTTTCTTCCTCTTTGTCTTCTTTCCAACATTTCTGCATCACTTACTAGTCCTGTTCTCACTGTCTCCTATCTATCTTTCAACCATCTTTCTCYATTTATTCTTCTCCAACAATTGTATTGAAGAGAGCCCGTGATAGAAAATATTTTTACTTTGGCAGCAGCTTTTTACTTTTATCTTTTCCCTAAATGTCTGGGATGGGTCCAGGCAGCTCTCCCCACTTTCATCATATCTCTCCACGTCCCTCATGACCCTGAGCTCTAATCAGCCATCTGATGTCTRCCATGAGAGCACCTCCCATGATCCAAAGCCACAATCAGACTAAGGTGTTGTAACACCATGTGTTGCTTTGCCTACTTACCACTCTTGCTCTGCTGCTTTCCAGGAACTGCACACCTGTGCCTGGGTTTTCTCACAGAATAATAATGACAGCACTGTCGCCTTTTGCACGTCTCTTCTCCTTGCTCCTGTGCCCATCTTCCTCTCCTGAGCTTTTGTGGTTCAATCTCTTGGCTGGTGCAATTTAGGATATGGGAGATTTGTATTTAGGCTCTGCCTGAGGCAATTTGAACTTGAATCTCTTGCCTGCTGAATTTGCACCCTACAGAAGAGATTATCAGCTGTTCTGTGAGAAGGGTAACCCAAGTCCTTGCCTCAAGTGGCAAAGCTTGCGCTTGACTTTTCAGCCTTGTTGTGGAGACGCTCACCTGGGTGGGGGGAAACCACATTTGCCAGGGCCTGCCCCAGTCAAAACTTAATACAAAGTATGGAGATATTCCCTGGAAGAGGGTAGCAAACCCCAGGCTTCTTGCTTTCAGTAGTGCTTTGAGAGCAAGCACACAGAACAATCACTTCAATCCATTTAATTATCCCATACAAACTGGAATAGCTCCAATKGGATGGACTGGAGAAAGACCCTGTTCAACAAGATTCTCTTAGAACTGTGCTGATCTCACTGGGCTAGTGTGAGCCAGCTCCCTCATACCCCAGAGCAGYCATGGCAGCTGCCTCAGCTCCACTGTCTTGATATAGTACTGGGTACTGAGGACATGTGTGGAGACTGGAGGAAAGYGAAGTGTGCTCCTGAATGTACTGTGTTATCCATGGCGACAGGTTTGTAATTGTAGCTTAAACAAACACCTGCCAGTGCTGCCTCAGTTACCATTCTGGAGGAATGGCAGCAAACATGCGGTGGAGGGGAAAGAATTCTGTTAAAAGACAGGGCAGTAGGCTGAGACACTACAAGGATAATTGCTTTTAAGGGTGGAAATACCATCAAAATAGACTAAAGAGTCTTAAAATACAAAATCAATGCCAAAACAGAGAAAGCCAGAATGACTTCCAGATCTCAGCTATAGGCAGTTGTACCCCAACATAAGCCAGGTACTGTCAGTGTGTGGGAGACATCCAGGAATTTTCTCTCCTTCAAAAATATTAGGGACATTATATGTTTTAACTGTAATGAAAAACTAGAGCTCTAGTGCTCAATTCCAAAGAGGCCAAACCATTGGAAGTGATGTGGTACAGGGTGTATGTGTGTGTGTGTGTGTGTGTGTGTGTGGCTGCTCCTTTTCTCCTCGGGATTCTATAGCTTCCTTCATTCTTCGCTTCTCTCATATTACAGAAAGAAGGTAATTTTTCCTGGCCATTTACTAAAGCTCATTAAAGACCGAAGAGAACAAACAATGCTATTCCTTAGAGACTACCATTCAAAGTCATTCTACAATTCTCTGTTCTAATACTTGAGACAAATTAATTATTCCTTAGTGAAAAGTGTATAATTCCTATTCTTCTTTTTTGGGGTGGGGAGTGGGGAATAATAATAGGAAGTTTATATCTGAGTCAAAAGCTGTCTGTGCTGAAGGGAAATGAGAAAAAATGTGTGTTCCAAGAAGAGTAAAAGCAATTATTCTAATAATAATTCTAGGGATATTAATGTCTTTTTAAAGTAGATTGCTTTCAAATAAACACCAAAGTTGAAGGCATAGGAAAGGCTGGTTTATTTATTAATCATTCCAAAAGTGCATTTTTCTAAATGAACAAGTGCATGAGCAACTTCGCTGGCACATATTAAATTTAGTTAAACGGCAACTTGTAAATATCTAAAAACTTCTGTAACCAGAGACTAATTTGTTTAACGTGTTGAAAATGTTATGTGGATGTGAGGAGCTACATATTAAACTTCAAAGCAAAATGCTCTAGAGATTACACCATCTTAAAGACTGCATATTGGAAAGGCCTTTATACATTAAACATAAAGGATTTTAAATTCTCTTCTATTTTGAATACTTGTCAATCTGTATGACTCATGCTTAAGACTGTAAACTGTCATTTAAGGTGTGATGTCCAAGTTGAGACCTGGACCATGATTTGCAAGGGGCTGGGTTTTCTCTTTCATCTCTATTAATTAATCCTGTTTCAGTTTGCCCAGCGTACACTTCTGTTGACATCACCTTTTCCATATACTTTAAAGAGTCCCCAGAGAGATCTACTGCAGAACAAAAACTGGACAGAGAATACATTTGGAAACCATTTTATTTCTCAATTACCAACCAAAACGTATGGAAAAGATTTACACTCTATCTGATTTACACAATAATTATACTTTGAAAGCTTAGAAATAAATGGCTTGATCCCTGAAATCATTAGTTACTATACCAAATGTAATTGGTGTAAACTAATGAGTTTACTGGATGGCTGACCCTTAATTACTGATTATAGTTAAACCCTAGCCAATCAAAATTTCGTTTACTTATAAAAGTACAGTGTAGTATTAACAAGCATTACATTTCTAAGCAAGCAGCTTTATGATTAGTTGTAGCACACAACTCAAGCTTGTTCAGGGCCATCAAAAGCAGCTTTTCAATAACAGTGCACTAAGCAACCATCACTCTCTTACCTCAGCTTCTATCAGACAAACAGAAAGAAACCACATAATTAATCATCTCATGCAATAGAAATAAAGCRTCTGGGCCAGATCCAGGTGGGATGTACACAGCCGCCTCAGTCCAAAGAGCTGCAAGAGACTGAGGATCTGCCTTATGATAGGATAACTGACACAGGGAATTCTGGTTCTCTTGTGGGGGCAGTATGGGATATGGAAATGAAATACTGATCGATTGTGTGCAGTCCCATGTGATGTGGAGAAACCTATCAACAAAGTAGATTTAATAATTCCTTGAACTGAGGAGCATTTCTTAGACAGATTCATTATGCAGTAATAGGATATCTGGCTACTGTACTGGCAATCCCAAAATCCATAAGTCATGAATCCTCACTATTTATTTTATGAAATGGAGAAAAAATTTTTAAATAAAATACTAAAGGGGAACAAAGTATCTTCATTTGTCTCAGGTTGATCTTTAGGAACTAGTGTTTTACGTAACCAGGAAGACTCAAAATTCCTACTGAGAAAGCTGAAAGCAGATTTGTATTTAGGCCATGATTTCAGAGTTGTGACTTTAAATAGACAAACAAATATTTTAATAAAATCATAAGACTTTACAGTGCTTACAGTCCTTAAAGGTACTTAGGTAAATTACTCCAGTGATTTAAGAATGTGGAAATTCTCCATCTCCTAGATCATTCCTGCGAATCCTAAACTTCAGACAGGAAATTGATACCAGAAGACACAAGCATTGGAAGGTCAGCTATGGAGATTTAGTTGGAAGAATATGTATTTGTTGGAGCTCTGCACTGTGTGCTCTGTAGATGACCCAACAGACCTCACATCAGCAAGTGTTAATTCTGTTGGGATTGCAGGTCTCTTCCATTTCAGTTTTTCTCCATTATGTTCTTTCTGGGGCTTGTCTTTCATAAGAAGCTAGGCTCAGCAGAGGACCGACCTTACCTGAAGGCTCTTTGGAAAAAGTACTGTAACACTTGCCTATTTGTTAGTATTGAAATTGAAGAATGAATTTGTTTTCAGAATATCTGCACATGGGTTAAAGTGAAATTTATGTATTTACTGAACTCCTGTTTATGAGATGTGTCTGGGGTCAAGAAAAGGTTAAAGTTGTTTACTGCCTTCAAGCTTCGGTCTTATAAGTTAAATCAGAACTGTGCTGTGAGCAGTCAGAGAGAGTAAGTCCTTGGAGCAGTGAATTGCTGGTTTGATGTCAAGGTCCGTGGGCCTTAATAATAATATTAGTTTGTTTCCTAAGGAAATCCTAGCAGGGACTTTATGGTTATGTAAAGTCATCACATTGTTTTATGACATAACTTTAAAGATGCTTCAGAATGATCAGAGTTTGTGGGAGGGGATCACAGTTTTTATTATTTGTGCAATATCCTCAAGGTGTCATAGCTACAGCACTACCACTTGGAATAGCTGCTCCACAGTTCATAAGAAAAGACAAAGGATCTGTTGAAGCCTAAGTCAGGCAATTAGGGTACATCTGTTCAGAGAAAGCTCGTTGAATTGAATGGATCCCATGTACTTCCTGACAATTGACTCCAATTTTGTAGGAGATGTACATTTGGGGCAATCAAGGTGTTTTATTACAATTCCACAAGAGCAGATAGAGAGCCTATGAAGCTCTACAAGTTCTGCTTTTCWCAGTTCTCTGTTGGAGGATTCAGGAGTGAGCAATTTTGAAAGTCAAGGAAAAGGAAGAAGGCATATTTTCCCAAACTTTGTCATCCTGTGAATACGAAGATAGAGGAAACACTAGACCAGACAAAAACTTTCCTCCCCACCCTCTGCACAGCAGTGCTGGTAAGAACAGTGCTGCCATTTCTGTTCTGCTAACACTGAAGCAGCGCCCTCCAATGCAGAAGGGAGACAAGGAACCATTGATTTGGGAGGAGGGAAGCACACTATGGACAGGTTCACTCTTCCCAGCCTGCCATCCCTGCGGCACAGAGGAAAGGGGGAGCTTCTGGAATGACTGGTGGAGCAAGCACCGAAGGGCCCTATTTCCCTCCTTTTCTGTGAACTCTGTAACTGTTTCTGTGAAAGAAAGCATCAAGCCCCATCTCGCTCATGGAAATACAACATATTTTAAAGCCATAGTTAATGGATAAACTGTTTTCTGATTGGATGAGCCACACAATAAATCATTTGCCGAGCCAAGTGCAATGCAGCTTATTCAGTTACATGAAATGAGCCACTGTCACTTTGCTGCACTTACATACATCAGGCAAAATGCTTCCATCTTCATCAGTCTCTTAGTGAAATAGAAATAAAACAATTGTAACAGAATGGTGTCACTGGATCTGTGGCACCTGCTTTAAAAATAATCTCTTAGCTTTGTCTTCACTATTACTTTCAATAAATGTCCTAGGATTGCCACAGCATTTATCTAGCAGCAGGAAACCATTATCCTATGACAACAATCTATTCCATTAACATTAGCTCTTAATTGTAAGATTGTTTATAAGACAGCAAAAGCTACTGAATCATAGTAGAATGATATAAAGAGTTATGGTCATGGAGCATAGTAGTCGCTCCAGTTATGAAAAACAACTTAAAAGTAGAGAGTTATATTTTTATATGAAAAATAATGTAATATTCTTACGCAATACGATGTTTTAAAATAATGGATTACATCAGCAAAGTAACTATTAAAGAGTTGGTGTTAAAAACTGTTACTAAGAAACMCTTTCTTTGATAAATGGTGTTGCTGAAAAATGGAATAGAAAGCTTAGAAACTCTGCCTCTTGCTTTCAGTAATGCTGCACCAAGCCAAACAGAGAAATCATAATAACAAAAACACATTTGTCTGGCGGAGTGAACAGAATAAATGTTGCAGAATTGAGATATGAAGAACCTCACTGCAGAACAGAAGGAGAACTGTCATCCTGATTGTTTGTCATTATTGTTTCATGTCCAGTTAAGTGAACTTAAAGTGACAGTTGTGTCATAACTACTGGAATCTATGTAAATTTCAAATCAAATATGATAGAGTCATTTCTGCCAGACACAAGTCACCAGGCTGCTCTTCCTCTTCTTTTTTGTAACCCTCCATTTTCTCATCCATGCTGGTAACCCTTAAATTAAAAAGACAATTTCAACAGGGGATCTCTGTGATATGTGTTGTTTCAGTGCTCAACCTGTACCTTGATTTCGCTCAGCTTTTTGAAACAATGCCCAGTGTCAAAATTCCACCAGAAACAAGCACCACAAACATCTAGATAGATTAGCTAAAACTGTGCCTTCCCATCAATGATGTATCGTACAACAAAACCCTATRAAATTCTAGGTTGAAAACATCCCCTGAAGACCTACAGAGAAAACAGCTCGAGCAAATGTTCCTCCATTGGTTTACTATAGCCCAAGCCAGGTACCACAGAGGTCTTCTGTCTGGGTAGGTGCAAAATAGGCAGAAAACATTGGTCCCTTCTGTAAATTACATCATTGTTCAGAGGTCATGGGAACTTCATAAAGATATCAGACATACTCCTCCACTGCAATGAGCTACATGTAAATAATTAATTTTCTGGACACACTCGTAACAGATAGATATTCTCATTACATAGGATTTGCTACTGGACACACATCTTTGAAAATAATTTCAATGCGATTATAAAGGTATCTTATGTAGACTACATCATGAAAAAATATTAAACATGCTATTTATTCACTCAGATAATATACTAATTTCTTCTGCATATTTAGAGTTACTTGGCTAGCTAYTTAGATAATACAGGCAAGAGTTAAGTTTTCATTTTTCATTGTAATACATTGCATAAACTATAGTCTTATAAACATGRACCTCTGCATTTGGTAAGTGCATTTTGGTCAGCTAATTAAGTCAGATTTTTATTTTTGTAATTCCTTTCGAGCTGATCTTTTTTGTACTGTAAATTTAAAGTAGTTCAGTGGCCACTTTTATCTATAAATTGGGCCTGCAAACAGCACCAAATTGTCCTGTCCTATTCTCCCATTTGTTGAGGTGACTAGTGGATAGAGGCAACATATTAATGCCAGTACTATGAAAGTATCTGTGAAGAAAACATTTTTTTTTACCCCAAAGGGTAAGTTCTGTATGAGTTTCTGTGTTTGTCAAAGGATTTTTTCCTTGTCAAAGATGGAGACATACAAATCATAAAATATTCATATTTGAGACAAAAGGTCACTCTGCAGATATGTCATCACAAAAACCAATTGTCAGTATATGTTTAAGGGTAGCAAATTTAACTGATTTGCTTAAAAAATGCCTACAGACTGTGGAATGTAAAGCCCTCTTTCAAAATTCACATAGCATCTCCAATTTTAAGATTGTTTAAAGTAGTGAACTTGTAATTACATACACATTCTAGAGGCCTTTCAAGACTTTTTAAACAAAAATTGCATAAAATTTCAAACTCTAGCATCTTTGACAGTAGTCACAGAATCCACTTGCAGAACTTTCTGCTGCTGATGGCTTGTGGCAATATATCAGTTTCTCCCATCAGAAATGTGCACAGGACAAATTGGTGAATTTAATTTCAACCCTATGACATCATTACAAATAAAGCCATTGCTCTTCCAAAAATGGACTTTATTGTTAATATAAATATATATCTGTAATTACCGATGTTCATATTATTTGGCCCCTGTCCTAAGTTATGGATATAGTGATGATAAAAAGGTCTTGCAAGCCCTTACCTAAGCAAACTGTGCTTACTAATTACCTCCCATGGTTCTAGGTTCCTGTAAATAAACTTACTCATATATTTATAAGGAAGTCAAAATCTATACACRTATTTCTGAATGTAGCTTATCTTACTCTTTTGGGCAAACAATATTGTCTACTGCTTAGAAAAGAAGGCTAAGAGCAAAGCCATCCAGGATTCTTCCCGGCTACTGCCAGGATATGACTCTGTAGTATCATTGGATATCTGACTTAAATACTTAATCCAGTCACATTTCTAAATTGTTGGAGGTCTAAACCAGAAGATCCTATGTGAGTAAAAGGATTTACTTTAAAGTAAGAAATAGCTGTTGACTTTTCATCAGTGTTTCTGGAGAAATTGGAATCAGAGGGTTTGTTTTCAAAGTTTGTTCAAAAGGTGTAGCTCACAAGACACATGGATTAGCAAAGGGTCACATGGAAGTTCTGAAAGCAGCAGCCTCTACATTTCTCTCTAATGAGAAAAGGAAAAAAGAGTCCTCTAGGTATGCAGTATTCAGGGAGAGAATCTAGAGGTCCCATAGGAATGCAGTATTTAGGGAGAGAACCAAGACTCCTTTCCTGAACGGAGAAGTAACTCTGATGAGTTCTGGACTACCTGCTATCTTAGGGGCACATCTAGGTTTAAGAATGATTTGGATCACAGGCTGTAATATTTTCCAGACATTGCAGCTACTAAGCCAGCGATTTTATGCTTTCCTTTCCTTGACTCCAAGAGTACTGCAATATAAGCAGCCAGATTTTCTTCTGCATTGTGTTTTTTATCCATTCAGCCAAAATTAACAGTCTTCTAGGATACCGTATGCCAAGTGAATTTAAATCTTGTGGACTCAAATCGACCTAAAGTTGATGGATACATTCATGCCTACTGCTGAAATCTACCAATTACACAGAACTATGTTAACTTACCATAGAAACATCTCATCTAATAGCACAGATGATGTTGAACTAACTAATTACATTATGGCACATAGACAATGAAAAACATAACGAAGATGACAGCACAGCAACAGCAGATGCTGCACAAAAGAAAAATTAGAAAAATATTGCTCTGCAAAATGCTCTCAGTTAAGGTTTCCTCTGTTAAAATTAATCACAAAAATTAGTGATGATCAGATTTCAGAAAAAGATATGAACATTGTAATGCTATTTGGAAGATATCATTAAGTCGTTTAAAATTCTGTTCCTTGAGAAGGTAATTCCTGTTTTTTGTATCACTCTCATTTTTAAGACTAGTAAACACTTTAGTGCCTATGGCAGAGTTTCTTGGTAGAATATCTTTTCCAATAAGGAGAGGTCCTAATGGCTCTCCCAGAGTCTGAATTTGGTAGCTTCCAGCCATTACATGCTTAGATAATTAGACAATGTAGATTTTATTTTAGCTTGGCATTTGCTCTATTCTTGTGCTCTTAACTGTCAGAGAGCTAAAATATCAGTGATTCTTGATTATCTGTAGCATGCCTTGTTGCTTTATATATTTTAAATTGTACCAGATCCTACATAACAAATCTAAAACTGCTGAGTATGTTTAAATGTAATATGTACATGGAGATTACATCCAGATGAAATATTTCATAGACCTATGCTAAAAAAAAAATTTAACCACAACACTGGTCCTCTTCCCCCTTTCCCTGTAGAAGCTTTCCATGAGCTCCCAAGTCTGCTTTATGCAGACTCTGAACATATCCCAGTCTATGGAGAAAGACAGAAATAGAATTTTCTCCCGTGTTTAAATCATACCTGTGGTGCCATTCAAATTTCAGTATTTTATTTCCTATATATTTAGAAGCAAATTGTATCTTCGCTATTCTACGTTTTCCCAAATACATTTCTCCCAGGCAGATGATTTCCCTTTCAGTTGTAAATGGTTGCTGGGCACGGGGCTCCGTGCCCGGCCCAGGTCGGGGCTGCAGGGCTGCGGCAGACCCACAGGTGGCGATGTGGTTAAAGCACACCTGGGCTGTGACTGCCGGCCCGGCTTCGCCGCTGGGCTATCAGCGAGCGGGCGGGCAGCATTCCTATGCCGGGGCACTTAGGAAATGCTCCCGGGAAGAATTCCGTGTATCTGTGCGGCGCACCGCGTCTGCGTTAGCCGCCGACTGGAGCAGGTTTAAAATACTTTGTTGCCTCGGACATCGGGTGGGCGCACGGAGCTCCTAGCTCGGTCACGCTGCATCACCACATACTTGACCGAGCAGCGAGCGTGCCCGCGGGCGGCGCGGCCTCCGTGCCCAGCCCTGCCGTGCCCGCGGCGGGGGCAGCGCCGGCCGGAGCGCACATCGAGCGCGGCCCGAGCGCTGCTGCCGTCCGGCCAGCGCTGCATTGGCTGCTGCTTACGTCAGCGCTCTGGAATCGAGAAACTCCTGTTACGAAGTTTTTCTGTCCTTTTCCAAACCCCGGGAATGTRCCACTGATGGGGCTCCGCCGCCGCGGGCGGAGACCGACCGCGTGTCCCCCCGGTGCTCGGCATCACCGGGCGCGGAGCTACGCCGGGGACAGCACCCGCATTTAGGAGCACTTTGTTATTCCGGGGATGTGTTCCAGCATTTCGGGGCTGTGCTTATCTTGTGTATTGCACTTAGGCCTCACACGCGTGCAGTTAATACGCAGTGGTTTTTTCAGACTTTTAAGTGTCCCCACTGAACATTGCTGGTTCCGATTTGCCGTCATCCCCGTGTTCCTCCCTCAGAAACACAGATGCCTTCGCTGCTGTCGAACCGTGAGCTTTGCGGCTGCTTAACCCACCGACAGCTCCACTGGGGCGGCCACCGCGGGCCGCGCCCGCCTGAGTCCCGCAGCGCAGCTCCCGCGGGGAACGTGTGACACTCGGCACCCCGACACAGCCCCTCCGCCCACAGCGGGAGCCGGGCACGGCCCTCGCGGCCTCTCCCSGCCCCGGCGCGGGACCCTGGGACGGGGTGCGGGCACCGGGGCCGGACGCGGGCAGCGGGGGGCGCCACGAAGGCGGCGAAGAAGGGCTGCCGCGGCCGCGCCTCCCCTCGGCGCCTCCCCCTGGCCCGGCGGGGCCGCGGCGGCGGGCGAAGCGCCCAGYGGCCAGGAAGGGCTCCGAGGGACGCCGCCGCCCGGGCGGAGCGGGCCTGCCCTCGGGGACAGCCGGGACGACCCCTCGCCGCCAAGTTTCTCAACTGGTGGCCGGGAGCGAGCGGGCAGGCGGGGCGGGGCGGACGGCGCCCTCACGGCCACGCGCCTCCCCCCAGCGCCCGGGCGGGCGGCGCGGCCAGCGCTGCCCACCTGACTCCCTCCTTCCTCTCCATTCCCCTCCTCCTCCTCCTCGCCCCCTCCCTTCCTCCCTTCCTC